AATGACATATATTAGATAATAGTACGTCACTGCAATAAGTTTTGCACAGATCTTAGGAGCAAATTAGGTTTCACTGTAAAATAAAAAGGAATTTGTAAAAAATATTATCTATAATATATATGAAATTACAGAAAATTAGATGTTGTATAATAAACTGAATTATGGTCATCTAAAATTTTTAATATAAATTAAATTGTAGATCGCTACAACTGGCAGTCACTGTTGCCAAAAATATTATCTTTATAAAAAATGTTAATTAAAAGAGATTTGATTATTTATCTTTTATTGTATGTATTTAATTCGAGACTTGTGCGTGCTGAAAGCTAACAATATTTCCCTTTGAAAAGCTCAACCCAAATATTGGTTTAATTGGCTCATTGAATAGAGCTTTAATGAACCAAATTTAAATAGCAAGAGCAACAATGACCGCAGCGTGATGACAAAAAGAGCGTCGGTGTAACGTGATTGTATGCGGCTGCCCTCTGCCGTTGGCCAGTGCGTAAATCCTCGGAACTAAGCGCTGGAACCTGCAAAAACTGATTACGAATGGAAGGCAACGCAGTGCCACAATACGAGCGATGGCAGCTCTCAGCTCAGATAGAACAACAGGAGCTCCGCGTAGAGGAAGTGTGCCTTATGCCATGAGCACTAATTACGCCTGGCGCACAAATATCAACTGAAACTGCAACAGCAACAACAACAGCAACAACAACAACAGCGACAGAGACAGAATAATGCCAGTGACAGTGGTTGAGGTAGAGGTCGGTAGAGCTGGAATGGCAACTGTTGCGACATTAACAGCGGCTCCAGCAACGGAAGCTGTCTCAGACTTGACTCGGTTAACAAAGCAACAATGCTGCATCAGCAACAGCAACTGAAAAAGCAACAGCTTTTCGAAAAAAAATCAAACACGACTTTAAAAAGAAAAAAAAAAAAAATAACACACACACATACAACATGATTAAAGAATTGCTCGTTGCGATTTCGCTTTCCTTGCCAATTTCTTTGCTGTTCTATAAGCCGGAAACCATAAAAAAACGAATTCGTTATTAAGAGTGCAATTCGGAGATCCCAACACAGAGGAAGTGTAAATAAGCAAATGTTTTATATTGCTCTTATACAGAGTATGTATGTGCTTCAGGGCTATGTTGCATATTTACAAAATAAAATAACTACGATCTTGACTATTCTGAAGAATATACTAGTCTGATAAAAATTATAGAATTGAAAATAACCAATATTCTGTTTTGATTAATTAAAAAAATAAAATTGTTTACCTACAAAATAAATACAATAAAATAATAAATAATTATAAATATAATTTTGTATTTGAAGATTGTTCTTGAATACCCAGTTAATTGAAGAACAAAAATATTGGAAATATATATATATGTCGGGGCGTTACGTTTCTCATTCTGGTTTTCCATCATAGCTGCGCGTAATAACGAATTCCCGGTGTGTCGCTAAACTCTTTTAATGCTCTTTCTCGTTCAATAGTCATTGACCAACTGTCTTCTCTTCTACTCTCGAAAGTTCTAATCATGGTCGCATGTTCTTGTTCATCGAAAGCACAGCGACCCTGCTGCGAACGGCATGACTAGCCGTCTCGCTCTCACCCAGCGACACCCGGGACTACGTTCAGCAACAGCTATTGTTGTCTCTCTCTTAGTGGCAGTGCATCCTTTAATTGCACCACAATACTAAATCAATCGATTAACACGATATCAAGATATCTAATTGCAATTTCAACAGTGTAATATCGCACTGACACGACATATATATATATATATATATAAAGCGTGGAACGTAGTCAAACAATGCATATTAATAATTCACACTGCAGTCATAAGTAACTGGTGTCCTGACAAACGTGACCGAAGAAACAACCGACATACATGTACACAAACAGAGAATGAAAACAGAGAAGAAAGCAAAGCAAATGGCATGCAAATAAATGAGAACAAAGGAATAAACGAATGGCCCGGATCCAGAGCCAGAGCCAGAGACAGAGCTCTGCTAGCAGTCAGCTCTTCGTGCTTCGTGCTGTCCATGGATTGAAGCAACAAACAAGGCAGTGGCAAACGAGCCGCATAATTTTTGCTGGCTGCACTTTGCGGCCAGTACTGGCGCCAGGATGCACTGCTCGGACGCTCAGGTCCTGCTTTAATGAACTATGAAGCGGCCAAATGAATGGCATATTAATAAGACGTCGGCTTTCAGTGCCACTGCAGCATTGCATTGATATCGGGAGATAAATCAAGGTAGTTGGGGCAATTTGTAATTCGCATGTTAATATGTGTGGGTGCAACCTCTTTGTGTATGCGTGTGTGTGGGTGACCCCTTCTGTTCTTAAGTAGGCTACAGAAGGCTTCCCCTTGCTATGCCAGATGTATGTGTGCATAATTAAATGGCTAGACAAAAAAGAAACATAAATAAGGAAGAAAGCTTATACTGCTGGCGGCAGCAAACGCTGCTGGTCAGGAGCTTACGCTGTTACGTTGCTTGCCCGCTACATGGCCTCACTTTCCCGCACTCATTTTCTTCGTCGTCCTGCGCTGATTAATGCTCGTTTGTTTGCTTGAGCCGTGTATTCACTAATGGAATTCACATGTTGCGACATGACTGATTATGTACACATTAGGCGACTGATTTGCAATTCCTAGTGTGTGCCAATGTGTGCATGAGAGTATGTGTGCATGAGTGTATGTGTCACGTCCTTCAGAACGTCACCTCAAACTTGAAGCCAAGACACAACTTTTCACTACGAGTATGTCCTAGAAAACAATGTCAGCCTTTTTGCACCCAGAACAAAACATCGGTATGGCCTGGTATTGGTGTGCTTCTATGCTTGAGTGTGTGTGTGTATTTTGCACGTGTCCTGCGTCACTCTGCCAAAGGACGAGGCCTGACTAAGCATATTAGCAAGTCTGCATCATGCCGAGCAGCGCTAATTGCCAGCCGCTTTGTACTACTCGACTTGGCAAAGCAATTTTGCATACTCGATAATTAACTTAGGACAAAGGGATGCGGCTCTAATTATGGTGACATCTTTTTAAATTGTTTAATTGCCATGAACCCTAATGTTAAAGCACAACAAAACAGCCCGCTTCAAAAATATTTGGATGTGCCTTGACAGGCTATTTGATAGGCGTCTGCTAGAGCGTCACCCAATAGCAAAGAAATGTACTTAAGGTGAGATCTTTACTGCCAGAAAAATTGTTAAATAGTGTACCTATTTATTACGATATTGCCTTAATATATCTGAATAATATCTGAATAATATCTGAATATATATCTGAAAACAAACAAATCTGTTATACTTCCATGATGATGTATGGAGCTGAAATATGGAACACATCGGCATTAACACGTTTAAGAAAACTCTAAGCTGCTCAAAATAAAATATTAAAAAGGATCCTCAATCTACCACGATATCAGAGAGCCTTATATCTGCATAAAATAGCGAGTATTTAATTGATGAGCTCATCACTCACTCAAAAGCCAAATGCATAATTACAAAATCAAATTTAACTCAAGGTACGGATTACTATTTCTATATAATAAAGTTCAAAGTGCCTTCCCTTCTAGTTTTAAGTTATTTTTAAGTCGCAGCTAAAGGTTTTTCATCCATTTTCCTTTACCTAAAAATAACAAACAATGTTCAAATTAAATTGAATAGAATTACATATCTGAAAATATAAGTAAGACGAAATCCCGTTTTGATAAATAGTATAAATGAGTTACACTACAATTTATTTTTCCTTTTGAATCACCTCTCTCGCCACTTGAATACCACACCCACTGAAAATATATAATTTCCAGCTATGTATATTGCTTGCCTGAATTGACAAGATTAGACCAAAATATTCTAATCAGCTATGTATATTAATTTCTATACGAATAAAATCTATCATATGCAAAATATATATGTATATATTAAATTATTCTAAACATGCAAAAGGTAGCAAGAATTTCATACATGAAAATGTTCAAGTTGCTATTTTCCACTAAAAACTATTTTACATCCGCACACTAAAAAAAGGACTCACCCTTTAGCTGGCTCTGTGCCATGCACTTCACACACACACATATAGTGGACAATTTGTGCATGTCTGTGAGTATGCATTTGGTCGTTAAGTTATGCGCCAAATTTAAAGCTATACAAAGCGTGACTTTAGTTGGCTCTGCTGTCATTTCTGGCTTAATTGAGCATGTAACAAGTGAATCGTATGCTTTTAGCAACACACATACGCACCGTAAGCCACTGCCAATGACTGCGAAAATAATATATATATATATATATTTGTATATACAAAGTATATATGTATATACAAAACCAAATAGCAGTCCAGGCAACTGGCAACTGGCTGCCCTTGCCTCGGCGAGCACGCATCGCCAGCCACCCAGGCTTTGCTTGTTTTTGGCAAAAACCATATGCGCCCTGCTATATGTTTTGTCAGAGTTTATGCTCGCTGCCAGCATATCAGCTGCAGGCCGCAGCCACGCACAGCTACCATAGACAATATTGGGTTGCAAGTGCAACAAAGTGCCCGGCCACATAAACGGCTAATTGCAAACCAACATTATGGCTTGAGGGTGTCAATGTTACTTTAGCTTGTACTGGTTGTTCGCTGAGTTCATATTGTTAGTGTGGCTCACAGAATCTCGACGCGACTGTCTTCAACCAAACGGAAATCAATCAATTTCCTGCATAGACATTCCAATTCAGTTACTTTCTCAGCGCACCTGGCGCGGTGCAAGGCAAGTGAAAAACAACGCAATCGGAACGTATCGATCTATTAAAAGCTATGTCAACTACAACACTTTGCCCAGCGGCACCAGACATCGCAGCAAAATGCAATTATCGTTCAGCTAAATGCACTAAAAAGTGCATATGCTTTGGCTGAGTTATCCAATAAAATTCTATTCTCATTTGCGACTTCGAGAACAGCCAAGATTTGAAGTGTTTTCCTCTAATATTTAAGCCGAATAAGAGGACATTCTCTTAATACAATATATTTGTTTAGTATTTTCGATCATTATATCATTTGAGATCTCACGCGTGAGCTAGATTCATATTCAATCAGGCATATATGCATATTGATTTTCACTTTCCAACTGGTGCTGATTGGTGTACTCTAAAAATTGGTGAAGGGCCATCAGCAGGCTGTGTAGGTCTACGGCGTGGCTTCTTACCAGTACGTATTACACTCACTGCAATGGTTACGACTTCCACTTGGTTGCCGACCTTTGAACTGCCAATGCCTGCAGGAGTTATGGTATTTAATATTAGTCACATTATTCAAATCGACACATATTTAATTTATACCTTTGAATCGATACCCTTCATTTAGTTTGCTCGATAACTTGTTGCTCGAATCCACACCTGCGCCAGATATTTTACCGTTTTCGCCTAAAATATTGCAAATTCATCATATTAGTCATGAAACTAATACACTTTACTTGCCGTAAGAGCCCGAAACAGTGCCGGAAGCAAACAACAATAATAACAGCGAAAGAACCTGCATCTTAAACAATACTGACTGAAATCAATGCAGCTTAGCTCTATTTATGGAAAGCTCACGATTTACGCTATCGTAAAGAGATTTATAGCAAGCCAATATCGTTGCTTGCATTCTCTCTTGAGAGCTATAAGCACAAATCTCACCCACACAGTAACAGAACAAAGAGCTTTGCTTTACTTTGCAAACAGTTACCCCACAACTATGATATGTGGATCAATCTAATAATTGTGTGTGTATGAGTTGAATATTAATATAAATAGTGGTATTATAAATATCCCTAAAAGTAAGAGAGTCTATAAAACTCTAAAGGATATCTAACATATATTATAAGAGAATATACTCACTTAACATCACTTACTTGAACTCAACAACTTGCAATGCATGTTTCGTAGTATATTCTTGATCCGAAAGCTCATTAAAGCAAAAATATAAATCATGCGGCCTAAATTGTTAAAATTTAAGTATAGCAAAAATATAAACAACTAATTCTATAATTATTAAATTATTGCAGCAATTATAAAGGGTATAACAAGGCGCATTTCGAGCTAAATAACAATGGAGTAACTGGAAGAACTTCTGTGTAAGAAATTGACGCCAAGTCACAAAGAACTTATTTAAAATAAAGGGGAGAATGATAGCCTAATAGTCAACGTGATAGTTCATTAAACATAGATTTAATATAAAATTTTTAAGTTTTAACTGCAATCTGTAGGGTTTTTCAAAGCCTCCGCGTAACCACAACATAAGACTGTCAGAGAAAAATCAGACTGACAGAAATTTCATTGGATTTATTTAAGCTCTGAGAAAGGTATTTGCCGCACTTATTTTTGTATGAACATCTGGGGAGCCCGGCGATTTCCCTTAAGACTGTATTAACGCAGCTATAAAATATTTGTTTATTTTTTGGAAATATGTTGCCTGCCTGGCATATCAGAATCTTAATAAATACTAAAAAGGCATGATGAGCTGCTGCCCATTCAGCCATCCAGCCATCCAGAGGAGGCCAGCAAGGACGTTGCCCGGGTTGACAAGCTTGGATCAGCTAAGAGGACAGCAGGCGCTGCCTGGTGCCCGGCATTCCCAATGGATTTTGCAGTTGCTCGTGCGTGTCGACAAGAATTTCAATTTGCAAACAATAAATTTGAACAGCCAGTCAGCCAGCCAGCCAGTGGCTCTTCGAGGAATGGCGAGGAGCGCAGTGGAGTGGAGCGGAGTGGAGCTAAAGGCACCCAATAAGTGGTCTAAGCACTCTTTATTAAAGAATAAAAATCTATTTTGTATTTTTGCTTAGCTGCGACATGCAAATGACAGTTTGGCATTTGACAATGCCGTTGATTTCACTGTGCTTTGCCATGAGAATTTGATTGGAGCTAAGCCGACATTTAAATATTGGATTACCCACTGTGTTAGCTTTGAGCTGATTGCGTGCGTGTCTGTTCCATAAGACGGCGCCAGACTCCGGCAGGAAGTGCTGAACAACAAGGCGGAAATGAATCAATTTCCGTGGGCCAGACATTTAAAAACTATGTACAAGCAAGCCACTTGAGGCACAAAGCAACTATAGAGACTCCAATTAAAAATGGAGCAAGATAAAAAGTGTAAATAGTCTACCTCGGAAAAGTCTTTTGATCATTTATTTTATACATATATAATATTTATAAAGGGGAAGGGGTGAAAGGTTTTGTTCAAAATGATTGTGAATGAAATTTATGCTGTGAAAATGAAATTTCGCTAAGGTGTTGTAAACAGTCAGCAGGCTGTTGATATTAAATCAGCAAGTAGGAGCTGAGAAATATTTGTGTGTTCAAATGTGTTCACAATTCAAATCAATTTTTGAGCAAACGAACCAACTTATATACATATAATACAATACCAATTTACAATTAACCAAAATGTCGGTGATTATTAACTGTTCTGCCTACATGGCGCTAGTTTATGAGGTCACCGCGGCATTCCTTGTTATGGTTCAGATGATCAAATTCGCAAAAATCATGAAGGTAAGACAAACAGAATTCAGGCGATCAGTCAACAACATGTAAAGGATTTCATGTTTAACAGTTTGATATGTTGGATGTTACGATTATACTTCAGTCCATGTGTAAACTCATTACCTTTGGGTTTCTCGCCGTTGGTGTCATTGGCGTAAGTACAAGCTGCTATATATTAATGCATACCTTATCTTCATGATGCATCGCACAAACAGCGTTACAGGTTCGCGATTCGGTTGTGGTTGGTCGTAGCCTATTTGCAAATCAAATGGCAAAGTGTTATAGACGTTAGCATCCTTATATACGAATACTATTTCAGTGAGCACAACAAGAGCAAGCAGGAGTTTTTTACGGAGCTGTCCGATGTGTATGGGCCCATCATTGGTCAAGTGCTGACTCGTATTGGAATTATATTGATCGTTTACAGATTCTTCAAGTCTCTAGAACCAAAGAAAACTAGGCTGTACGGCGTGCAGCCGGAGCAAAAAGCAGATGAGCTGAAATCGAAGTAACTACGCAGAACAAATGCTTTTATTGTTCGGAAATCTTTGTTAAATTAAAATAATAAAAATTGTGAGAAGCGCGGCAAAGGATTCCTAGCGACTTGTCCAGCTTGGGGATGGTTTAAGTTAATGTAAATGTGGTAGACAATAAATATGAAGGCGAATTCGACAGCTGAGGGGATCGGGAATTAGATTAGGTCGTAGATCGTAGCTGTGGATGCTTAACTTGCCCATAGTCAGCAATGATATCAGGATGTTGGTTAGCGCCTCAATGGCATCGCCCGCTAGCAGCTCCAGGATCCATAGCACCACATACACAAAGTCGAATATCAGCCCTCCTGCGCACCAGATAAGCCAGAACAACAGCAGCTGTGGCTTTTGCTGCGAAAGGCGCTCTCAGTGAGTGGGATACGCATTTGAATAAAGGTCGGACTACCCACCAATATGATCCCGGCGAGCATCAGCATTGACACAGCTATCCACACATTCAATAGGAGCAGGTAAATCCCCAGCATCCAAGGACTTAGGCGGTTTCTGTAGAGCGCTGAAAAGTTGGTTAGAGTTAGTATGCTGGCGCTGGCTTCTCTTGATGCATTCCATTCTGACTCTCACTTGTCACTTGCGTCGACTGCTCCAGCTCACTGGCTGTTGTCCGGTTTGCTTTTCTGGCTTTGCTCTGGCGCATCATGAAAATAATCATCAGCTCAAAGAACAAAGCTCCTATGATGTCCATGCAACCAATGGCCAGGCCAAAGCCATTCAATGCGCTCACCATTCTCGCTTTGCATCGAAATCTGTATTTTCTTCAACTCGTATTTCTCTCTCTGTTTCTCTCTCTCTCTTTCTCATTTTTTGTTGACATACAAAACTTAAAGTTAAAACTGCTGCAAACTCTTGATTTTGCGCCAGCCAGCGGATCTGCACGGGCTGACTGCGTGCGAAATGAGCGCGAAAAAGTAAATTATATTTGACTCAGGAGAGGCACGTAAATGTGTGTGCGTGTGTGTGTGGGTACGGGCGTATGCATGTGCACGTATTTCATCAGCCTGGCATTATAAGTATAAATGTATATGTATTTATGCACACATTTTTTGCATAAATAGACAAGAGCTCGCCCCAGACTTGCGCCAGCTTCGAGTTCTGAGTTGCTGTTTCCGTTTCCGCAATGGTTTTTCGTTTGTGTTTTTTGCTGCTGCTGCTGCAGTGCAAATTATTTTAAAAGGATTTTGTTTTTAACATTGCCAAATGGGTGGCTGTGGATGTGAGTGTGTGTGTATGTAGATGTGTGTCGGCATGTTAAATGGAATAATATTAAAGCACTCGCTGGCTAGTCAAAAGTAAGATTATGAACTCGCATCCACACAAAATTATAATCAAAACACGCAGACTTAACTGATTCCAGCTTAATCGCGCTTCACCAATAGCTATGGAGCCTCATCTTAAGTGAAACTCATTCATATATAGCTTAATACCCGTTTATTACAAAAATATAAATCAACTCAAAATCAGCTTTATGACCATTGGCTTGCTGTCGCTGCTTCAATCATCAGGTTCTTCATTTTACGGTCCTCACAGGAGACCAATATGGGCTGCGCTTCGAGCCGCAGGTGTAGGGACTTGTAATGGATCTAGTTTGCAAGATGTTGCACCTGTAGGAACGTTTGCTTCGATTAGGCGATGTAGTGCAAGCGTCTGCCTCTGGTTCTGGGTCCAGCTTTGGCCGCGGCGCTTCCTGTGGCGGCGACAGAACCTGCTCCAGCGGTGGGTCTCTGTAACAAGGCGGCTTTCTATCCTGGACAACAGGGCTGCATTCCGGGAGTTCTCGATAAAACATATAGATGATCAGGGCAAAAATTGTTTCAACAACTGTAAAAGACATCAAGATGAAGAAAACTGTATGTATTTGTGGAGAGCTGCACCTCACATAAACCAAGGAGCAGAATCAGACTATTTTCAGCTATTCCCACTTGGAAAGTGCTCTTGCTGACGAAAGCATAAATCAGCAGGCAAATCTCAATAGCAATGCCCACGCATGAGAATACAAGCCAGCACCCCACCAACGTCGAATTACGCTGCAACGCAAAAATCAAATTATTTCATATTGGAAACTAACCCAAAGTTACCCAATAAATGCCAGAGATGAGCAGAGCAATCAGCGTTATCCAAAACAAAGCAAAGCACACCGCGAATATGGCTAGCCAGCTCAACTGCAATAAGGAATATATACATATATTATACTCTGACGCGTATTCTATATCGGAGCTTACGTGTGACGAGCATTTGGTCAGACTGAATGCAGCGAAGAGCACGCCGCAGAGTAGATCGAAAACGGCTATGGCATAGGCACAATAAAGGAGTGAGCCCCGGTCCTGCTGCATGACGACATTTGACAGGATATCTGGGAATGCTGAGCACCATAAGCACTTGGCCTACTTTCCCATTTCATTTTGCCCGGGTTGACAGAAAAGCATAAATTATCGTAGGTGTGGTGAGAGAAGCAGGTGGGCTGGCTAGGGTCATTAATGTTGGCCTCTACGCAGCTTACGGTGCAGCTCTTTAAAGGCCGCTTTCTCCTCCTTCTTGTACATCTTCTTCAGACGCTTGCGCTCCCTACGCTGTGTTTCCCCACTGGAGGTGAATTTGCTGTACTTGGAGCTGCGGCCGCCTTCAAATCTGTTGCCACCCAGTGGTATCCACTGCTCGTACTCAATCATATCCAGGTAAAAGACATATATAATGAACACGAAAGTCATTTCGACGGCTGTAATGGGCCAAGATAACATTTGATTGCAAAGGCGTTCGGAAAACAGTCTTACCCAAGCCAATGAAGGGCATAACGGTTATCTTAACGCCCTCCCAGTTTATGGATACCGCCAGAGTCAAGCCGTAGAGTAGGAGCAGGGCATCCAGCATGATGCCCAGGCAGGTGAAAACCAACCAGTAGCGCACGAAGTTCAACTGGCGCCGATAAATACCCAACAACAGAACAATAATGATGCAGATCCAAACGAAGGAAAACAGCAGCGCTGCCAGCGACGTCCAATGGTGCTGTGGACAAGGTAGTTCAGTTCGACTTAGACCCTATCCTGCGCGACTACAACTACAACTTACGTGCTGTATGTATAACATACACGAAACACTGGCGAACAGCACAGCGGACAATAGATCCAGAATTGCAATCGCGTAGCTGCAAACTACCAAATATTTCTCCATTTCAAACAGCCAGCGTCTGAGCTCGAGTTGAAACAGAGGGCAAGGCTGTGCACTAAATCAAAGCTATAATGATTATGAGCACGTATTCTCAATAGAGCAGAGTGTGAGAAGCGGATACTGTTTGTTGGCAACTCAACTTCTTAATCAATGGCATTTGATTGTGAAAAGCTAAGGCCTTGAGACAGTTTGTCTATACCATGGAAACTATGAGAAAGGATATAGGAAAATTAAAAAATAATCAATGTCAAATTAATGTTATTTTATATGTAACTAATAAGACTCTCTGAGTGGTAAAATTAGACATATCCATATTAATTATAGAACTAATTTAAAATTTAACATAGAAAATCAGCTATGGAATATGAATTATATATAATAAATTTATTCAAATATATCTATATATAAAATAAAATGCAACAAGCAACGAGATTCATTAGTTAAATATATCTGACAATTTTCTGCATATCCAATAATCCTAATCATATAAAAATGTTTTCAAAATGAACAAGTTTCATTAGGTTTCGACCACTGTGCGTTCATTGTGCTGATTTGCGACAAGTCTTCTGGCCATCTTTCATTTACGGCATTTGTTTTGTCAGCTGCCGCCTCTGGGCCGTTTTGAGATTAGATTTGGCCCCATTGACAACGTGACTCCTTCGGGACGGAGTTCCGTGATAGATAGACATTGCCAAAAGAGAGAAAAAGAAACAGAAACAGATAAAAAGACAACTATCAAACTCAATTATTATTATTGTTTGTGCTGGCAGATTCGAATTGATTTTGGCACACGAGCTAGGCAGTAAATTGAAACGATCTATAAAAGCCAATGCAGTGGAAGAATTTTGTATAAGTGGTTTAGTGTTACATCTGAGCTTATACGAATATAACATTTCTTTACAAATCAATTCTAGATATCTCATTTCGGGGCACCGATGTAAATTATAGTATCTCCTTTATGCTCAGGTTTAGCTACAGGCTCTTGAGACTCCCGTATTGTATTCTGAGTCTTCTGAGGGTCCTTACGTGAGTAGCTGTATGGAATCAGATAATTTATTACTGAATTATGGTAGCTTAGCTTAATAACAACCTGAACCATTTCTTCTTGTTCGAGCTACCCTCGTCGAACTGAACTCTCACGATACTCAAACAATATCTGTAGACAATATAAATGCATAACCATTCAAGAACTAAAGAAAGTGAGGGTTAAATTGTATGAAAACAGTATACAAAATCTGCTTTTACGTCACCTATGCCCAAATATAAGAGGGTGAACTGTATAATTTGCGGCCAGTCTACGTAATCGGATACGGAAATCGTCCAAATAAAAATGAATATATCCGCAATAATGCCAATGATCGAAAATATCAGCCAACAGGAGATTAGCCGAAGACGATGCTAAAGTAATTGAATTCAGTTATTAAATTTGAATATTGCATCTTTGAACTTCTTACCTTCCATAGACCTATTAAAAGCAGTATAACCATAATAATCCAAAATATCGAGCCTAGGAATACAACAATTGAGTAAATACCAACCTGGGGGTTCAGATAGGCCTCAATTAATACAAAGCAAACCTAATCAAATCGCATACAAACATTCCAACCCATATCATCGATTGACTGAACCAAAAAGTATAGTGACTGGGCCAAATCAATTATTGCAATTAAATAACAGATTTGCACCAAACTTATTCCACCCGAACTGCCAGAGGTCTCGTCATATGCAATATTTTCAGATTGAGCTTCCATCGTATGATCCAATAAGGTATTTGAAAAAAAAAAATGTTTTGGAAAATTTATATAAAATATATTTACTGAGAGAGTAGACACAATGTCTACTACGACATATTTATATACATAAGATTGGTATATGGATTTTGCTGAGAAGACTAGAAGGAAGACTGTTTATTTTTTTGTAGGTTTCTTCTTTTCCGGTTTCTTTTTAACTGTTCTTTTCTCGTGCGCTTTGGGCTTCCTCTGGCTATCTATAAACCATATATATATATATATATAACATATATTTCAATTATGATAAATCCAACGTTTTATTTTACCTTTACACGCCCTGTCATCCCGATTCTTCTTTGTGGTTCTTTTCTTTCCTCTTTCGGGCTCATCGACAAGCCGACACGGGTCCATACTTAAATAGTACCTATACACCAGATATATGCAGATGCTTTCGATAACTGGAAAAAAAATAAAATATATTATGTATCCAAAAATTATGGACTCTCACGCACAAACTCCCACAAATATAATGGAAAATTCTTTTAGGTGATCCACATCCACTGTTACAGAAGACACGATGCCCCATATTGAAAATCCTATATCCACAATGAAACCAATTATTGAGAAGATAAGCCAGATTTTAACTAATAGAGGACGCCGCTTGATTGTAATATATTATACCAGATGTAGATATATTATGTTTATGATATCAATAATAATAAACTTACCATCGTGAGGCCAACGATTAATAGCACCACGACAAGCACCCAAAATACAGTTCCCATAAGAGCCAATGTGGAGTATATATTGAACTAATATTTAATAGTTTTTAACGGCCTAATTAAGTTCATTCAAATGTCTGACTTACTCTCGTGAGCAATGAAATGGTCGCATTGACAACAAAGAAAAGCGCATGTCCCAAATCGCATAAGGCGATCAGGAGACATATTTGCCATAAACTCGATTGAAGGAAATGCGTTAGTCTTGAATTTATATTTGCCTTGGTAGTTGTTTTCTTTTTATTCTTATCTACGGCCATGATTCAGGGTTAAGAAGTGGAATTGTAGATATTTTACATAAATGTGAGTTATATGACAAAGCACATGAACTATCTATCATTAAAGTATAACATAAATAAGTATAGGGCTCAAGATCCCGCCCAATAGAAAACAAGTTTCGTTCGATTGTATGGGCGAGTAGGATACAGAAAATGCACCTCAAATTTAAATCAAACCGTTACTCTACACCGTCTGTTAATATAACATAAACAGATGTTTGCTCGCTGATATGGCAACGCTTATAAATGTTAGCTTCAGTGCTAAAAGTGTCAATACGGTTGTTTCACGCTGTCCAATTGCTTTGTGCTAAACAAGTGGAAAATAGAGTTTCTCAAGTAAATTTATAAACAAGCTGCCTTTATGCCAATAATCGTCAAAACGTAAGTTACCTAATAAGATTACTCGTTCAATAAATATAGTTGTATAAGGGTTTTGAAGCAAACAACATCGCTCATATAGAACAGTTGCCAGCTCTCGTGTGTTCTCGCGCCTTTTTCGCTTTTATTTTTAACTTTGCAACACTGGACACAGCTGTTTCATTTGTGAAACAAAGTTTCACCGACAAACAATTTCACAATGGGTCCACCGAAAAAGTCTAAAAAAGATCGGGGCTCGAGCGATAAATTTGGTAAGAGTCAATAATGTCAGAGTATTCCTATCATCCGGTAAAACTGATGCGAGTTCACAGCTAAGAAGCGTCGCGCAGAAGATGAGGCTTACACCCAACTGGTCGATGATAATGACAGCCAGGACTGCGTGAGCGAGGCGGACGGCGTGCCAGGTGCTGCGTCCAAAAACGCAGAAACTAATGACGAGAACATCAACACAGACGAATACGGAGCCAAGGATTACCGTGCTCAGATGCAATTGCGTCCAGACCACGCTAATCGCCCTCTGTGGGTGGCACCGAACGGGCATGTGTTCCTTGAATCGTTCTCGCCGGTCTACAAGCATGCCCATGACTTTCTCATTGCTATTTCGGAGCCCGTCTGCCGGCCCGAGCACATACACGAGTACAAGCTGACAGCGTACAGCTTGTACGCAGCTGTGTCTGTGGGACTGCAGACACACGACATTATAGAGTATCTGAAACGTTTGAGCAAAACCACGATTCCCGAGGGCATATTGGAGTTTATTCGCCTTTGTACGCTGTCGTATGGAAAGGTGAAGCTTGTGCTGAAGCATAACAAATACTTTATCGAGTCTCCGCATCCGGAGGTGCTGCAAAAGTTGCTCAAAGATCCGGTCATACAGAATTGCCGACTCATACGCAACGAAGGTGAAGGCTTTATACAGGGCACAATGGATAGCAAAGCAATCACACAGTTCGGTACCAAGCTGCCAGCCACGAGCGACAATCCAGCAGAAGACGCAGCTAGCACCTCTGCAGCGACAACAGCAGGAGCAGCAGGTGCACCGGGGACTACCGCCGAGGGTGCAGCTACAACTGTTGCGGTTCCCGAGGATATTACAGACTTTTACGAGAAGATCGACAAGGAAGAGGAGGACGAGGACGAAGCCAATCTTAAAACCGTGTCCTTTGAGGTTGCTCAGGAAAAAATTGAGCTTATCCAGAAGCGTTGCATTGAAATCGAGCATCCGTTGCTGGCAGAGTATGATTTCCGCAACGATACCAATAATCCGGATATTAACATTGACCTTAAGCCAGCAGCAGTGCTGCGTCCTTACCAAGAAAAGAGTTTGCGCAAGATGTTTGGCAACGGGCGAGCCCGCTCTGGCGTAATTGTGCTGCCATGCGGCGCTGGAAAATCCTTGGTGGGTGTCACCGCCTGCTGTACTGTGCGAAAACGCGCCCTGGTGCTGTGCAACAGCGGCGTGTCAGTGGAACAGTGGAAGCAGCAGTTTAAGATGTGGTCCACTGCAGATGATAGTATGATTTGTCGCTTCACCTCGGAGGCAAAAGATAAGCCCATGGGATGTGGCATTCTGGTTACTACATACTCCATGATAACGCACACACAGAAGCGTTCATGGGAGGCGGAGCAGACGATGCGCTGGTTGCAGGAGCAGGAATGGGGTATCATGGTACTGGACGAGGTGCACACCATACCCGCAAAGATGTTCCGACGTGTCCTGACCATTGTGCAGTCCCACTGCAAGCTGGGATTGACAGCCACGCTTTTGCGTGAGGATGATAAAATTGCAGATCTGAATTTTCTGATTGGTCCCAAGCTCTACGAAGCTAACTGGTTGGAGCTACAAAAGAAGGGCTACATAGCACGCGTACAGTGTGCCGAGGTCTGGTGTCCCATGTCGCCGGAGTTCTATCGCGAATATCTAACCACCAAAACTTCCAAGAAAATGCTACTTTATGTGATGAATCCTTCCAAATTCCGCAGCTGCCAATTCCTTATTAAATACCACGAGAAGCGTGGCGATAAGACTATTGTCTTTTCCGACAATGTGTTCGCCTTGAAGCACTACGCCATCAAGATGAACAAGCCATTCATCTATGGTCCAACATCTCAGAATGAACGTATACAAATTCTACAGAATTTCAAGTTTAATGCCAAGGTATGTGAATATGGGTTCCCCATCGAAGTGCAACTAATTTAACACTCTTTTTTCAAAGGTCAACACGATTTTTGTATCGAAGGTGGCCGATACTAGTTTTGATCTGCCCGAGGCGAACGTACTAATTCAGATTTCATCGCACGGCGGCTCACGACGCCAGGAAGCACAGCGACTGGGTCGTATTCTGCGCGCCAAGAAGGGAGCCATTGCCGAGGAATATAATGCATTCTTTTACACGCTCGTCTCGCAGGATACAATGGAGATGAGCTATTCTCGCAAGCGCCAGCGGTTCCTGGTGAATCAGGGCTATAGCTATAAGGTCATCACACATCTTAAAGGCATGGACACTGAAACTGACCTTATGTATGGAACACAGGAGGAGCAGGGTCAGCTCTTGCAGTTGGTGTTGTCTGCTTCCGACTTGGACTGTGAGGATGAGAAAGTGCCAGGCGAGCCAGGCTATCGTCCAGGTGGTTCTGGCACCGCGAAACGTATGGGCGGACTCAGTTCAATGTCAGGTGGTGACGATGCCGTCTACTATGAGCATCGGCGCAAGAATAATGGCAACGTACATCCTTTGTTTAAGAAATTTAGGGGATAAGACACTGTGCACAACAGAATAAACGTATTTCAGTCGTAAAACCTTGTTTTTCTATACACGCTTAGACTAAAATGTACTTTATATACTATAGATGACTTTTATATAGGTTTAAGCTATAATGTAATCTGCTTCTTTTTTTAGCCACAGCGCCGGCAGTGGTGAGTGGGCCATCATAGAGCTGCAAGGTGATCTAGAGGTGCGCAGCAATCAAAGCATGCACGGTCAATTCATAGGGGATCTGTACTACAACAAATATGGGCAGCCCGTAAGTTTCCTTAGCTATTAAAAGATCTTCTCATAGACATGCGTCATTACTGATTTCAGATACTAATAATAGGCCATCACATACTGCAAGGACGCGAGCAGAAGCTGGAGAAACCGTTTGCAGTTCTGGAGAAGTCAAAAACTAATGAAGGGCGCCAACTACTCAACACGACTGATGCAACGCTGGACGCAAGCACCATGAATACCACCGAAGGACCGGAACGAACGCTGCTGGATGAGACAGTGGCACTGGAGCATAAGAGTCGCCAGCGAACCGAATATACTGTGCGTGCCATATGCACGAAGAAGCTCATTTTTAAGGCCCGACCGAAGCCAATCATAGCCAATGTGGCCAAAACTGTGTAAATGTGGATTGATTTTGCGTCAATATGTATTTAGTTGAGTAGATAAGTATTGTTGTATATAATTGTTTGTAAGCACATTAAACGATTTCCATTTCACGCTCGATGCCCACAAATTTGAGCTGTTCGGTAGGTCCGTATCTGTAGTCGAAGAACAACTCCTCGCCTGGCTGTATGGCGCGCTTGGCAAATATTCCGATGCGATGATCCCCGGTGACCATCATGACCTTGGCATAGCAATTGGGATTGATCGAATGGTTGGCAAACCGAATCTTGTTGCCTTTTCGCGTGGCATCCACTACGAAGTCATTGTTCAAATTGAACAGAAATGAGCACATGTACTTGTCATATACTTTGCCACGACGATCGGCCTCATCCTGCGAGATTATCTCGCCGCAATATTCTGATATGAACTCATTTTTCTGTGCGCCTTCCTTAAGGAAAATGCCCCAGCCGGCAATATCCGACGGCGCCATCAGTAAATGTTTGTCTGCGAAGAAATAGATTAGAGATATTCACATGGTCCTTTAAGGACTCGCTACTTACGCAATCCACGCTGGACGCAGACATTCTTGCACGTGATTTTGGTCAACTTGAATTGATCGGCTCCACAAGCCTGACACAAGTCTGGATCGCACTCTCGCACCGCCAAGTAGCAAGGACATTGCTTCGTATTGCACTGCGCCTTGCAACGGCAGCCTGGAAAACGATTCTGGCAATCGCTGCTGCAATTGCAAAACTTCTCGCAAAAGTTCTGCGTCTGAATGCAGGAGCAGTTCATGTCACAAGGCCCAGCGTGATCGCAGGGTGTGTAGTTGTACACATGATTGGATGACGAGTCCTTCTTAAGCTGTATCTTGCGGCAATGCAGAGACCACAATCGCTGCTTCTTCTTCTTCTTTCGCGGCGGAGTAAAGTCTTGGCGCAGATCCTCAAAGTTAAACTCGGCCGCCTCTTTCTGCGCAAATTCATAAACCTGCCGACAGGTCTTCGTAAGCATGTTGTGCGCAACAGCACAATAGTTCTTTAGGTACACCTTGTGCAGTACTCTAAAGAGCGCTTGGTCGGCGCCAGTCCAAACGCACTGCGTACTGGTTATGTTCATCATGCCAGCTAGAACGGAATGAGTTTTAAATCAGAAACTGCTTAGTTTCAGGGCACCTCATTGACTTCCGACAAATGTAAGCTTACCCATTATGGAGTTAATTTCTGCACTGTTGACAGCTATGCTATTATCCTTGCCGTTCTCGGGGTTGAAGTCCTTGTTGCTGAACTGGCTGTTGCTGTCGTTGCTGTCCTCAGAGCTGGCCTCGTTGCAAGAATCTATGGGCGGCGTCTTACTATCTGCTGCCAGTTTCTCCTTCATCCCATCCTATCAGCAAGACAATGATGATAAGCACCCAAATTGTTCACATTATTGAAATCTGCGACTTACTATTAGCATATAGCAAGAGTTGCTGCATGGCTCAGCAAAGGCCTTCAGTTCCGGATAGCGACGCTTTTGTAGATTGGGACCAGCGTGTCCTTGCAAACCTGTGAATGGAAACGTAAACATATGTAGCACAGCTCGATGGGGATCACAGAGAAGACATGACTATGAGACATTCGGGGTTAGAGCATGAGTCAGATACGTTACTTAACGAGGGATGCAAAAGCCGCACGAAATGAGGCGAGAAACACCAAGAAAATTTTTACACAAGACAATTTCTGCCGATTTCCACAGACATTAACAATTTAAATATATATAGGAAAGATTGATGATGATGTGGAGCAAGGCGACATTTAGGCCTAGGCGGCATGAGTGTGTGTGCGTGTGGTTATCGAGAACAACAACTACAACAACGACTCACCCTGTACATGGTGACCTAAATTGCAGTTATTTATTTTAACAAAATTTAAGAGTTTTTTTTAGACAAAAGAAATATTTTGCAACAAATTTTGTTTGTTTTCCAAATAAAGAGAAAAAGCAAAAACAAAACATTATTAAGAGTAACCCAACTGGAGACAACACACAAAGATTCGACTTACGATGAAGGAAGCAGTCGTATTTGAAGCAGCGTCGACAGAATAGAGTATGGAATGAGTGCATAGTGCGTTCACGGGAAACGCTCTCCGCCTTGATGCCATCGATGTTGGGAGTGCACTCCTGGGGACGTTCGGGATCCTGATGCTCAGTGAGCTCAATGTACCTAAATGAGAAGACACATTAAGCATATAATTTTGATGACGCAGAAGCCAACATACTTCTCCTTTAGTTCCTGAGCTGTGCCCTTATCTGGGAAGTTGGCACTGATTGCTTGAAATATGATTGGTGCTGGGAATGGTAGTTTCTCTTTGACTTTTTCTACTTTGCCCTTTGTATCTGACACATCTGCATTGGCCGATTCTTCTTTATCGTCCTCTACAGCTGAAGAAACTTCTGTTGTTGGCTCTGATATTGCTGGTGTCACATCTTTTTCGTCTTCCTCCTTTACTTTTGATGTTGTTGCAGTCTCTGTTTTAACAGACGAAGTTGCTGTAGGTTCCTCCAAGTCCTTATTGTGCGAGCGCATCAATGCATGCACCAATTCCACAAATATGGCGTCATCCATGAAAGATGGATCTTTGTCTCCGTGAACTTTGCCATCGTAGTTCTTGATCAGTTCCTCTATGAACTTGCCATCCTTGTCGAGCACTTCGTCACCCATATACGGAATGTTGTGCAGCACAGTTTCGTCCTCGACCATGAAATTCTGCTGTGTGGGCGCCCATGTGTACATTGTGGGTATGGGCGTGACGGCGTTGATCACGCAAATGGGCACGCGTTGCGGCCCGCTGTTGGGACCATTGTAGCTAGTCACCTCAGCACGCTTAACGCAGTCAACGTGTGGAGGATCGTATGGCTTTGCCTGCCACACCTTCGAGTCGCAATATAAATCCTGCACATTGTGATTGTGCTCATCCCTAAGTAGATAAACGGAGCAAGTTGACGCTAATTGTTACGTGTTTTAGTGCGGCTAATTTACCAGTTTTTGATCCATGCTTCTTTGATTTCGTCAGCGCGTTTGTATCGCTTTTGCTGGCGTATTTTCATATACTCCAACTTGACCACGCGCTTCCATTCTTTGCTGCTCATATTTGATCAAAATTTTTGCAGCAAACTATTTATGGCGGACTCCCACAGTGTTAGTCAACGTCGTTCATTTGAAAGAGTGTTGGAATATGAAAGAAAAGCAGTGCTAGGAAGCAACATTCGTTTTATCAGCTGTTCGTTGCTTATCCCGCACTAATTTTAAGACATTTTTCTGTTTAGTATATGGTATTAATTTTTCGGTATTTATATTTGGCATTATTTAAGAGGAAATACAACACAAAAACAAATTAAATGTGAAATCTTATCAAAATAAAGGAAAAAAATTACAAATATAAGCTGGACAAATTCAAACACATAAAAGCAGCCACGAGCATCGAGGAAATTGGCGCGATGGAACCATCAGCTTGCGAGGACTTAAAGGCATTCGAGCGGCGACTAACCGAGGTGGTTTCATCATACAGGCCACCCACGTACCGCTGGCGCAGTAAGTATCAAATAATTCCCTGATTAGATCGGTCGCGAATACATATATAATCACATATAATTTCTTATCATCGCAGTCATATTATCGGCATTATCCGTATGCACGGCAATCAGTGCCTGGTATTGGCTGAAAGACCCGCGCACAACCGTCGTGCCGCTAACCGAGTCCCTATGGATACACCCAATCTTCACAGTGGCCACAGTCACGTTAATAATCCTCTTTATATTTGGCATACAGAAGCTGGTTGTGGCGCCACAGATAATCACGTCTCGTACGCGGTCAGTGCTAACCGATTTTGCCCTGGATCTCGAACCGCATACTGGAAAGTTAATATTAAAGCCCCGGCAAAGTAATAACAATGGATGCAATACATGAAGTTTTCTAGACACAATCACAATTAGTCTGCTTTGCTGATATCCATTTAGACCCTGATGATGCACACTTCCGTACTGATCGTTTTTTCGCATCTGAAAACCTTAGTTAAATGCATATAATCCAAGTTAATCTAATCTTATCACCGTGAGACACCTTTCGTTTGGTTAAATTATACAAACAAAAAACACTCCACTTGTACAATGTACCGCTGGCTACGCTTGGCAGAGAAACAAATATAATTAATTGATTTATGGATCACGCAACCAAATTAATGATATGTATAATAATTGTTGCTCAGCTTACAGGTCGACATGATGTATGTATATAAATTCTCCATTGGCCTTACGCGGAGGTTGAGGTTGGAAATAAATTTTTGTTGACACGATTTTTGCCTAAGAAACTCAAATATTTGAACAAATTTAATATAATAATGATTTAAGGTCCTTTGCTCAACAATAGGCTCTCATATCTGTAAAGGATTATTTAGTTTTTATGCAAATAATAAATTTTTAAATTTATTTCATATGCGTCTTTTAGTTACTAATGAAACAGAACCAATATATAATATACTGGTACAAATGTACGTACTCAAGATTCAAGACTACGAGTATTATTGCTCATAAGCAACAGTTGATTTATTACGAGGTGGGTATTCCTATTTACTAATTATAATTTCACCTGTTCAAAAAAAAAAAGCAAGTCGTGCCAAGTGTAAGTTACAAGATCGACTATAAATTGAAGCCCTCCATGCGATCGTACTACATTTACCACTCGACCAGCATTCCAGCATTAATATGAAGATTTTCTTTCTGGCTTTTCTCTTCCTGGGCATCGTGTTCAGCTTGTCTGCAGGCAAGTCCTGAAATCATTTAGATATTTCTCAATTTGTATCACCACTTTAAATTATAGCCCACAACTATGAGCACGCGGAGGACGCAGCTGAACATGGACATCATCAGAATTTCGTGAGCAGCTTGGACGCCGTACACGAGCACAAGAAGCCTGAGGCTTGTTGCGGCTGATGCAATGCATCAATGGTCATGGCAGCGCAATGCTGTTCCAAGTTACCGCTACGTATTAAAATTAAATATATAAATAAAGAAGCAATATTTTGAAAATCCATATGAAAGACTTTTCAATTGATTAATTGCATTTTGGGGTTGCCTTGCATGGCTCCAACAGGTTTACGCCTCCTTCCCCTATACGAAACTAAAATAGTAATACTAAACAACTGGCTAACACTTAAAAATTTTAAGTTAAAATAGTGTTATTAGTTTAGTAAAGTTAATAGGTGCGCATACCGTCTGAGACTTGGAGCAGACTTTCCTGTCTCGCAATTGCCTTAACGAATGCGAATCCTTTACATGTGTATATTTCCCTGATTTAATAGACTTTTGAGGTTTTTGCAACTTTTTCATATATTCCATTAAGTTAGTGAAATAATGCGGATGTAGCTACTTCGAAACCTACTTCAATAAATAAATACTAAATTTCTATGAAATATTTACGAAACAGTTAAGGGTGTCTCCGTTATACCAGCTATGCAAATATGTATATTATATTTTACATTTAATGTATATAACTAAAAATAAATACATTATTAAACTGCCCAGAAGACTCCGTACTCCATTTTTTATAAAATTGATTTAAATTATTATTATGATCATGTCCAAATGGACTGACTAGTCTGGATTATTTGACATGATGTTAAAATTAATAATATGCAATTTATTTTATTAAAATAATATAATTTGTGACATGTAAAATCATAATCCGGGAAGCTATAAATATGTATATATAACTTGAAGTAAATAAGTTTTAAAATTCTTTACAAAATTATGTGACCTCAGAATCTAAGGGTTGATTAACTAATTTAAAATAATATACCATTTAATGATTAATGATGCAGATGAAGATATAAAAAACCATTAACTTCATACTGAGGATAGTGTTATCCTTTTTTGTGCTTCATACATATTTTGGCCAAGCCACATTTTCATTCCATTCATAAGTGAATAGAACATATACTGACCGAGTACTAAATTAATGAAGAGTCAACATATGCATATATACATATATGTAAATATATAATTTAATTTATATATCTATCTATATATATTTGTGCACTTTATATGACTGCAAATACCTAAATAAACTCTTTATACGAGTGCATGAGTACGAGTGGCTCTCCAATATAACTTATTGATTAACAATTTTTCACCTGTTTTGTTAATGAATGCATTTGTTTAGTTGCCTGTAACGCTGTAACAAAGTGGGATTTGTGATGCCAAATGTTAGTCGTAAAAATCTTATTAAGAAATATTTACATAACCATGGACGACTGCTATAAATATAGACTGCGGTCCACTCTCGGTTTATAGTACCACTTTGTTCGCCATCCAAGCTCAATGATGAAGGTCTTCTTCCTGCTCGCACTCCTCATGGCCATCGTTTTCAGCACGTCGGCAGGCAAGTCGAAGGAATTGGCTCAACTTATTGTTGCGGAGTAATCATTTCAATTTCAATTTTTTAATTATAGCTGATAGCCATGATCATAATGGACCTCATGATCATCATGAGCATGCTATAGCCGCAGATCCTGTACATCAGAGGATCGTCCGTGCCGCAGGCCCTGCGCAGAACGGAAAGGAACCAGGAAAGGAAGCACCCAAAGCCTGTTGCGGTTAAACAGCTCAGCATTGCATTGCTGAGCATCATAATCTATGCAATGTGCAACGTGCAGCGCTCCTTTCTCAAAATAAAGCCAGAATATTTTTGAAAATCCACAAAATGTCTAAAAGTCTTTTCAATTTAGGCTAGATCATATATCATAGAATAGGTCTACAATAAATCCTATGAAATAACGTATTAAATAAGACAAAGGCCAAGTCTGATTGCCCTCTTAGTCGGTTATAATAGGGACAATAAAGGCCAATGAAAAGAAAAATTATTAAATTAAAATAAAGAAAAATATTACAGATCTTCGAGACGTACGAGAATCTGAATCAAAAGTTATAGAATTTTACATTAAATATGCTATAGATATTCCCCATTATACCCTGTATAATAATATATAATATAATAATTTATATTATCATTTCACTCACCGCAAATACATGCAAGTCTTTAATATGTGTTTTTAGTTTATTTTTGTTTTGCAGTTTTGATTTCTGTTCTTCAACTTTTCATTTTTTTCTTTTTTTCTTCTTTGCAATACAAGTTCTTATAAATTTCTATGTGTAAATCTTAAAATATTATTGCGCAGCGTTCTTCTATAGTCAAACATACAAAGGTTAAACATATATATCAAATCTTCTTTTTTATAATTTCTTCAAAGTGAAAATATAAATGCATCTGCGATATTTCTGCGTGTGGTTCAGTTTGTTATTGGTTTAGGCCATTTAGTTGGTATCCTTTTGTTTATAATTAATTGTAATTGTATATATAGTCATGTACAAAAAATATGCTAATTGTATTTATTTAAAAATGTATTTAAATTTATAATCTCTGGTTAGTAGTTGAAATTGAAATTTAGGATATTCATTTCTAACATATTTGACTTTGCGCTAATTTCTTGTTTATTATTCAATTTGCAATAGGTTTGTTCATTACTTAATATTAGTGCTAGATTATGAGCTAAATATTGTTGTTGTTGTTCTTGTTGTTATTGTTGTTGCTGGTTGCTGTTGTTGATATATTTGCATCCTAACTTCTCAAGGAGGCGCCAATCAATACAAAAAATATACATATATTTATTTATTATGAAGACGACAAATGCTGGAAATGCATAAATTAAACTAAATGCTGCCTCCTTTCTGCACAACAATTCTCACACAGTTCAAACATTACATTTCTATATATATATACTCGTAGTAGAAGCCTATTAATTACATAAATAAAAACCGTTTAAATCTTTAAACAAAGTTAACGTTACAAATTTTACACATAAACAAAACGATTTGGCTTGCTCCGCGCCCCCATCCGGCATTATGCGGCTAGCATATTACGTATGTTCTTCGGCGTATTCTCCTCGTTCAGATGCTTCGTCGTATAGCGCAGGGCATTCAGCAGTGGCTCCGCCTTTATCGCTGGCTGTGCCTGCAACAGTCGCACGCATCCCTTCACGTCCACGTGGGCGCCGCGTGCAAACGCTCCCACCGGATGGACGTGATCGTAGAGTATGACCAGACCGACCATCACGCGCAGCACCAACATTTGCGTCTCCTCCCGCTCAATTTGTTGCAGAAGTTTTCTGAAAGCCAGCAAAGTTTTACAATTCCAATAATTCTTGTGAAAATTGTTATTCAATTGCCACTTACGGATTCTCCAGCATTCGTAGGCACACCTTGGCCATTGTGCCAAGCGTTTCTGTCGTATTTTGCACATCGTCCGCATTGTCATTCACGAATTTCGATGTCGCCTCACTGAGCACTTTCAGCATGGGCGTGGCATGGGCATAGAACAACGACATACGATTCGCCAGCTCTGTGCTGACCAGCATATTTTCCGTAGAGTCGATGCGCTGTCGACTGACGATGCGCCTGTAGTAGCTAAAGTCGTTCTGTATGGCGGGTGTTTTCATCTGCAAAGTAAGTGTGAAAATTTCGTTAAACTTTATGAAGTATGGCGAATCGAATAGCATTATCATGGATAAATGGTGTGTTGGCCTCGTATTAGACCATTACGATTTATGACTACTTAGTCCAGACTGCACTGCTTGTTTCAATAATTATACATATTATATATGAAGCAGTTCACTGCTTATTATTCTTGCAAGTTAACAACTCTGCACTGCTTGGCTTCCCACTTTAATTGAAGCCAGACTAATTTAGATCTAATTGCAGTACGTGACATCGCAATCGCACTTAATTTTCGTTGTAATTTTCAGCCAGGCCCAAAACTCAATTTTCGAGTACATCTGATGACGCTTGAGCCTCTATTTAGCTGTCAGGGCTGCACTGGAGTCGTGCGTGAGAAAAACTTCTGAGAGCTGCCGCCTGCCCAGCCGCCCCGACAGCTAGCGGCTGTCTCATCATTTACCTTGAGGGAGCGCTCGAGACATGACAACATTTTATACTATATATGCGCACTAAACCTATATAAATACGTTATTAGCATAAATCGTTCTAACAGTAAGTAACAATGTGGCAAACAGAGCGGATCAGCAGCAGCGGCAGCTTGAAAGCCTATCAATGTGTGAGTTTAGATTTGAATAAAAGCTATAATTAAACACAAAGATGATTAATTTGAGCATGTGCAATACTATCTTGACAGTTCGTAGTCTCGCTAATGGCGCTTCGCTTGGCATCAGCTCAGTATGCATCACCCACGTATAATGGGCATTCGTTAAACAACAACATTCAACTACAATTGCAACGGCTAGGCTATCCCGATGCTCCATTGACCTACAGTCGGACCTATTCTGCACCTGTGCAGTCCAGGTGGTCTGGTGCGCCCATTGTTGTCAATGACGAGGCGAATATACTTCAGCAGCAGGAACGTCAATATTTGCCCATTAATTACTACAACAATAGAGAGGACTATGCCACGGTGAAGCCGGACAGCACGAATCCAAATTGGTTCAACAACAACAACAACAATAATCTGCCGACCACGCGTGCTGTCAATCACAATTACAACAACAACGACAACAATGACAACAACTATGGCGCCTACTACTACACACAGCCTCCAGGCCAACAAGAGCTGGACCAACGAGAGCTGCTCACTGTAGCCGATACCCGACGACCAGAAGACCAAATAGTTCGCATTGGAGGCAGTCGCTCCCTGGCTTACAACAACAACAACAATATCTACAGAAACAATGAAAACTATTATGAAGCTGCTCTGTTGCTGGGCCAACGCGAATTTCAGGCCAAATATGCCAAGCACTATGCCGACTATTTGCGCAAATATCCCCGAAGATTGCAGCCACAATATTTCAACACATTCATCGACAAATGATTAGGAATTGGTTGTACTCCAAACCTTATTTAAAGTGGGTCAGCTGAGTAATATCCAGAGTGCCAAAAATACCATTTGCCAGTGCGTGTGTGCCAAGTATCTTAATTGTTGACAAAGCCATGCCAAGCACAACAAAACAGTAAACGACCCCTAAGCGGATCACGGATAACCTTGCTGGGTGAGCCGTATACAAAATTTATTGTTGAGATATATGTTACATAATAAAGTCAAATAAAAAATAAATTAAAAATAAAGTCAAATAAAAAATTAAAATAATTTACAAATAAAAGTTAAATTAGATTTTTAATAGTCATATTTTTTACATGAAGAGAGCATTCACTGTACTTGAGCAGTTGGCGTTTATGCGCTGCTTCCAGTATTCGGTTCAATAAAACGTGTAGCATACTTTGAGGCACACTCTAAAATCGCATGCAAAGGGGCAACACCCTGGGCAACAAAAGTGCGAAAAGACAGCAATTGGCTAGAAACGGAAATGCCTGTTTCTATTACAGTTATTCCGCTACGGCTAGGCACGTTTGGACACTACAAATAAGTATATGAAGTGCTAATGCATAAGGCAAGTGCATGTTCATTTATCCATATATACATACATATATGTGTGTGCGTGTGTGTGTGAATGGATACTTAAACACACAGCAGCATCATCATCTCTCTCAAGATCCTTCATATTAACTTCTGCATACAAATTTGCAGACATGAACGGCAATCAAACAATGACGTTGAACTTTATCGAGTTGCTGCGCCGTTTACCCCGCCCTCTGCCTCCTCCTCCTTTCGCTTCAGTTGCAGTTTCATAAAAGTTTTGCAGAACGGAAGCAAGCGCAATGGGATAACGCGGGATTTGTATTTCGCTCCGATACGACAAAGCTCGCATTTATAGTCTTGTCGAGGGGAGTAACGCGATAGAACGTTAGATATCTGATCTCAAAAGCTAAGAGTTTAACCTACATTAGGCCATATTCAATTCGATTGTGAAATTTTATATTAATTAATATTTAGCTTATATTTTAGTTAAGTCTCATCTATATTTGCTTAATTAATTAATTAAACAGCCCCCAAAACTTGAATATTTTAAATACGAATTAAAACTAATCTAGCTCCGTCTGTTCCTAGCAATACTTGAGATAATAAAAGTCAAGCTGTTTGATATATCTGTCCCTATTTCTATAATATCGATAAATGTAAATTTTATTTCTGGTGATCGAAACAGGAGCTGTAGATTATAATAAATAATTTGAAATTTCCATTTCTATGTATAATATTTTATATTAACACTTATTATAAATATAATTTTCATTTATTCTATGCCAAAGTAAGCCAAGCTCAAAACATTTCCAATTTGATTTACCGTAGTGTGGTCTAATAAGAGAAGCTCAATTACACATGGTTGGAGATACAGAGAGAGGGAGAGAGAGATATGTGTAAAAGAAAAGCAAGAGATTCTTTGAGCTGTGTTAAATGTTTTTCAACATGCTTCAACCGACTTTCTGGAGATATGCCCCAGCCTCGACACACAACGTTCTGCTTTGCGTGCTCACTGAAGCGCCGACATTTGGCCAGGCCGTTAAAATGAGTGCGTGTGTGCGCTCCAAATGAGGCTTCACTGTACAGAGCATACAGCAACGTAGAAGATATTTCATCAATGAGCAGCAGCACGCGCTCACCTAAACTGACAGACAGACAGATGGACAGACGGAGAGACGGATGGATGGATGTTCAAACTGGCAGTCAATTAAAAATGCAACCACGCGCGCAATGAGTTGGCAAAGACTTGGCTAAGACTTTAACCGGCTGTTGCACCCACAT